TGGATGTGGTAAAAAACTTTGGCGGCATCATAGGTTTCTGAAATGATTATTTACAGTAGTCATCTATTTTACACACTTCTGTGTTAGAGATCACCCGTTCTATCATTTTCATTAAGTATGTATTATGATTTTCTGAATGGCAAACTATATAGAAGGGATTCTAACCCACGGGGGAAGCAGTGAGTAGCTGAGAGAATATTTTTAGCAGAGTTTGTAAAGGTCTGTAGAGTGCTGTCTGTTACCAGATGTTGAACTCTTCCTCGGTTCTTGCTTCTCACAATCAGAGAATGAAAGCAAGAGACAGTTTTGAAGCAGCAAGCAGCAAAGTTTATTAAGCAAGTACACCTCCAGACATGGAGGTGGACTGCCAAGAAGGATTAGCAAGTGATAGTACACTCCAGGAGGAGGTAGGAACAGGCACATGTCTCAGTGGACAGTGGCCCTGGGTTTTCTGTTCCATCCCTTTTTCTTCTGCCTTGCCTCTCCTCCTTTGTGACTTTGTCTCTTCCTTCTTTTTTTTTTCTTTTTTTTTTTGTTTGAGACAGAGTCTCGCTCTGTCACCCAGATTAGAGTACAGTGGTGTGATCATAGCTCACCATAACCTTGAACTCCTGGGCTCAAGCGATCCTCCTGCCTCAGCCTCCTGAGTAGCTGGGGCTACAGGTGTGCGCCACCATGCCTGGCTAATTTTTCTGTTTTGCGTAGAGGTGGGGTTTTGCTCTTGCTTAGGCTGGTCTCAAACTCCTGAGCTCAAGCAATCCTCCCAGAGTGCTAGGATTACAGGTGCGAGCCACAGCGCCTAGCCTTCTTGGCTCTTCTTTTTTCTTGACCAATGGGAATGTTGTCTCCTTCCTGCTGGGGAGATTTCACATCATATGGTTAGGCCTGGATGTATTATGGTGTTCAAAGCTCATTGGGGAGGGGGGGAAACTGTAATAATGTATAATGTGCCCTTTGTTGTTTCTGTTATGTCTCTTTTGACAGTTGTGGTTACCCTTATCTTTATTATTGTTACAGTATGTTCTCTGACTCAGCATCCCACTTGTTTATGTGTCTTGCATTTGTATTTTCTCTGCTCATGTCTCACTTTTTTTTTTGAGACAGAGTCTCACTCTTTTGCCCGGGCTAGAGTGCCGTGGTGTCAGCCTAGCTCACAGCAACCTCAAACTTCCTGGGCTCAAGCGATCCTTCTGCCTCAGCCTCCCGAGTAGCTGGGATTACAGGCATGTGCCACCATGCCCGGCTAATTTTTTCTATATATTTTTAGTTGTCCGATTAATTTCTTTCTATTTTTAGTAGAGACGGGTCTCGCTCTTGCTCAGGCTGGTTTCGAACTCCTGAGCTCAAATGATCCGCCCGCCTCAGCCTCCCAGAGAGCTAGGATTACAGGCGTGAGCCACCGCGCCTGGCCATGTCTCACTTTTCTTACACTAACATTGTGACACTTACTGCTGCCCTTATCTTGCAGTGTAATTTCTTACTCAGTATTCCTTTTGTTTATATTGCATGTTCCATACTTCCTCTGCTCATGTCTCACTTTCCTACCTACGCTAACACTGTCCAGTAGAACTTCCTGCGATGATGTCTGTTGAGCACTTGAAATGTGAAATGTGGCCAGTTTGAGGAACTGCATTTGTGGGTTTTTTTTTTGTTTGTTTGTTTGTTTTGAGACTGGATCTCACTCTTCTGCCCAGGCTAGAGTGCAGTGGCATCGTCATAGCTCACTGCAACTTCAAACTGCTGGGCTCAAATGATCCTCCTGCCTCAGCCTCCCAAGTAGCTAGGACTATAGGCTGGCGACACCATGCCTGGCTAATTTTTTAATTTTTTTGTAGAGGCAGGTGTTGCTATTGCCCAGGCAGGTCTGGAACTCCTGGCTTCAAGTGATCTTCCTGCCTCGGCTTCCTAGCGTGCTGGGATTATAGGTATGAGCTTCTGTGCCTGGCCTGAATTTTTAATTTTATTTCATTTTAGTATAATTTAAACTTAAGTAACCACATCTGGGTATGAGCTACTATATTGGACGGTACAACTCTATTGGTTGCTTTTGAGAGAACAAAAGCAAGGGTAAAAGAAAGAGGATCTCAGAATTACAGACTCATGATCTTACAGGTGAAAGAGATTTTAAGAGATCTGTTTAGTCTCAGAAAAATAAGGTGGTCTTGTACCCATTTTACAGATGAGGCAGGCCTGCTTTCCTTCCTTTTAAAAAATAGGTAAGATCTTTTGATGTAATCTCAGGGACAATACACAGATTTTGACAAAATTTGTAAGAAAATAAAATACTACAATACTTTTTAGTGGCCAGTATTTACTATGTTATCAAGAATACCTCTTGTCCTCTGGGATCTAGATGACAGTCTTTGGGTTGAGCATCAATCCCTAAAGCTCTTTTTCTCCCACTTATAAAGCACAGCAGAATGTAATATCCCTCAGCATCATTAGAGGGATAACCTGGAAGTCTCTCTAATTCCTAAAATGAGAAACAACTCATTTGCAAACCTTGGTACTTTTAACTATTATCTAGTAGCAAATTACTTCAAATTGGATTTTGCTTTACCTGGCCATCACATCTTCCCTTTTGTTTAAATTATTTCCCTATCTTTCTGGAAAGTATTTACTTTATATTTTATATGTTGTGGAGCACTTATGGCTTAAAAGCCACCATTTCAGGCTATTTTTCTCTGAAACAGAATGTGGCTAAGGTGATGGTCTCTTTTTCTCAAACTAGTGCTTTAGAATATCCTTAATTAGGCACTAGAAAGGAAATTTTAGATGAGTTAGACATGGAGGAAGTGAGAATGAGGTAGTGTGATAAAAGGAGGAAGTAGGGAAAGAACTGAAGTCTCCTTCTTCCCCTTGTTTATTTTGTAATCTTTATTGTTGATGGCGGGGAGGGGTGAGTCTGAGAGCTTCTAACACATCTTCTCTAGTAGAGGGATAGATTTGCTTCATTTTAGGTGTTTAAAAGCTACATATTTTATTTACTTCACCTAGCTAAGATATAATAGGGGCTCAGTAAATAGTTGTTCAGGGCAACTACAGTGTATTGTTACCTGCCTGGGAAGTCAGGACAAACCAAGGAGTAAATGGATTCTACCATACCTGGTAGCTACATGCTCATTGTTTTTAATTATACCCTCATCTCTCTGGTAAAAATGTATATATTCTAGAGGTGAGGTCCCCACCCATTCCACCGCTCCCCACCCCCCCGCTATCTGTGGAAAAACTGTCATCCACGAAACCAGTCCCTGGTGTCAAAAAGGTTGAGGACTGCTGTTCTAGAGAATTTATTGCTTAAAATCTGCCATTTCAGGACTTTTTTTTTGTGAATCAGGATGTGATTTGCTAAAGTGATGGTTTCATGTTTTTGTAGCATCCCAGATATTTTACTAAAAAACCCAAAATCTCCAGCCTGAGCAACATAGCAAGACCCCATCTCTACAAAAAAAAACCCACATTAGCTGAGTATGGTGGCGTGAACCTGTAGTCCCAGCTACTTGGGAGGCTGAGGCAGGAAGATTGCTTGAGCCCAGGAGTTTGAGGTTACAGTGAACTCTAGCCTGGGCAACAGAGTGAGACCTTGCCTCAAAACAAAACAAAAGAAAAAACTGCCCAAAACAAAAATCATAATATTGGAATTCTAGTTATTCAATTAGAAAAAAAAATATTTTTATAGGTATCTCTTTATTTCAATGGTTGACAGAAGTACTTTTAATAAAAATTGAGGGGCCGGGCGTGGTGGCTCACGCCTGTAATCCTAGCACTCTGGGAGGGCGAGGCGGGTGGATTGCTCAAGGTCAGGAGTTCGAGACCAGCCTGAGCAAGAGCGAGACCCTGTCTCTACTAAAAAATAGAAAGAAATGATCTGGACAACTAAAAATATATATATAGAGAAAAAATTAGCCGGGCATGGTGGCGCATGCCTGTAGTCCCAGCTACTCGGGAGGCTGAGGCAGAAGGATCGCTTGAGCCCAGGAGTTTGAGGTTGCTGTGAGCTAGGCTGACGCCATGGCACTCACTCTAGCCCGGGCAACAAAGTGAGACTCTGTCTCAAAAAAAAAAAAAAAAAAAAAATTGAGGGAGGTTCTTTCCAAAATATAATTTTATTTTTTTTCTGGAAGTTTATTACTATATTCATAGTTTGTTGACACTTTCTAGATTGCTTTATTCACCAAGTGAAAAACAGTCTCTACAATGCTGCCAGCTTATTTGGATTCCCATTCCAGCTGACCACAAAGCCCATGGTAACTTCAGCTTGTAATGGAACACGGAATGTGGCCTCTTCAGGAGAGGTCAGTGGGGATGGGGTTCCTTTGGGGCTACTGATCTTTGTACTTAATCATTAAAGTTAAATTTTACAAATATTCACTTTTTTGGGAATTAATGTGTAGAATGACTTCTTTCCAGAAATATTCATGCCTTTATTAGCTATGATTATAAAGGTTAAGAAGTTAAAGATTTAAAAAGTATTTATAAGGTGCCTAATATTATTACATTTGCTTTTCTTATTTAAGTATGTGTGAAGAACTTGAAATTGTTATTTTTTATATCATTTTGAGTCTTAACAAATTAAACCTTTGGTCTGACTGATGATGGTATCTCTTCTGTGAGCCAGCTAAGAAAATGATTATCAATGGAGTGATCTTTTCATATTAGAAACTTATTTAAATTATAAAGTTTAGATGATACAGAGGTGATTCTGTTTCATTTTAAGGTATTTTCGAACTCTTCATCTTGTGAACTGACAGGTTCTGGATCCTGGAACAACATGCTGAAACTGGGTGAGGTGGTCAGAAATATTTCTGCATCCCCCTACCTCCTCCTTGCCATTTTTCCCTAAGTTTTGAGACTATGAAAGGAAAACATTGATTTGTATTGGGATGAGAACAAAGACATATTCTTTCTACCATTCTAAAAAGCAAATAGCTTTCCTTTAGAATTATTGTTTTTGAATTTATTGTTGTGTTTTCTATTTGTGTTATCAGTGTCCTTAATGTGACTTAGATCAAGGTTCATTCATTTTAAAAAAAAACCTCAAATACCCATTTTCTGAGAGCTTACTGTGGTAAGTTACTAGAAATAACAAAACAATGAAACCTTGTCCCTGCCCTTGAGGAGTTTATCATCCAGTTGGGAGTAGCCTCAGGCTCCCAGTTCTCACAGTTTTATGGATTAGGGACTTCCATATCATCCTTAGATCCTGAAATTGAATTGTGATTATTGTATATACATGTACTATCCAAAGTGCTATGATGGGGACTTTGTGGAAAGAAGCCAGAGTCCTGAGAAATAATTGTGATGTCTGCCACACAGCCAGGCTTATAAAATTTGAGAGGAAGGGGAGGAAGTTAGGGAAAATGAGCTTTAGAGAAATAGGTTCAAAAGTCAAAAGTGGAAGGAGCTAAGGAAGTGATAAAAACCATAGAGTTGCTCTTCTCAAACTTTTTTAGTAAAATACCTCTGGTGGCAGAGAAGAGCAAAGGAGAGTAAACGCATACCCCTGTGTCTGAGAATCTAGTTCTAAAGGATTTAGAACCAAGATGATATTTCTTTGAAGTTTTTTATTTCATTGAAAAAGTTAATGTAAATTGAATATCATCTGTTCATATTGTTTGAATATTTAAATGTTTAAAATTATTTACCATTAAAATTGACATATATGAAGGATGGTAGATTTATCTTGTGTTTGAAGTGCCAGTACTGTATTTCTGTGGGTTTGTATACCCTAGTCTGAGAAACACAGGTATTCCTGGAGCAGGTTTCTTGTATAAAGAAGTCCACAATCTCTTATGTGAAACCCTTGGAGGCCAGATGTGTTTGGGAATTCAGAATTTTTTATATTTTAGATATATTTGTTGAATATTATAATAAACTCCATTGGGATCTGGAATAGAACTCTGTAATCAAACATGGATATTTCTGCAATTAAATAGTATTCATACTAGGTGAGATAAATAAGGACTAGCTTCATATTGCTTCAAGTCAGGATTTATAAACATGAATTAAGGTCAGTTTAGGTTTTTGCTGCAACTGACTTGGAAAAAATTTTCAGTTTCAGAGCTTTTTGCATTTTGGACTTCTCAGGTACTCCAAGCACCTGTAGTAGCTCCTGAAGAGAAGGTGGCTGATGAAATTTTGATCGCCCTCTTTTGAATGATAGTAACTATCTCACAATAGTTGAAAGCTTCCAGTGAAATGTAGTGACATATGGCTGGTTTTTATTTTAAAATACTTCTGTTTTCTTGGTAAGAAGAAACTTAATTTGAACAATATACTCAAGTTGATAGGATTACAGAGAGTTGCAGTCTTTGAGTTCTTCATGGCCTGTGGTCAGTCCCACCAAGCAAAACTAGAAAAGCTTGCAGCGAATTCTGTTATTGCCTATCTGAAACCAAAGACAAACTAAGCCCTATTGCTTTCCTTAAACTTTTACACAATTTTTGCTGGACTCCTGTGCTATTAATAGAATTTGAAAAACAAGATATTTAGCTCTACAATATAGATTGCTCACAGATTTTCTTTCCTAATGCTGACTGTTCACAGGCATTTTTTTCCCCCACAATTACAAATGCATTTTTAAAATAGGTAATAAATCTCCTAATGGAATAAGTGACTATCCAAAGATCAGAGTGACAGTAACCCGAGATCAACCACGCAGAGTCTTGCCTTCCTTTGGGTAAGTGTTAAATTCTGCCTTTCTGTAAATGGAAACTTAGCATTTATTAGGTGCTCACTCTTGCTAGGCATTCTCACTTTTGTTCTATTATGTAATCTTGTTAAATAAGTACTCTGAGGTTAGTAACTTTTGGAATATCAGCTACTGAGAGACTTGAACCCAAGTATGTGTTACTTTTTTTACTATATTGTATGCCCATAGCGTATGATTTTGAAAACCTTTTTAGATAGGATTTTCGCTTTCTTCTGAATTTACAGATAAATGCTAAAATTGTAAGTGTATATGGCCTGATGAATTTTCATACACTTGAATATACCCATTAGTTCTGTGAAACGTAATAATTTTCTTCCCTCCTGTTTCTGTATTCTCACTTTCTAGAATTTGTTTGGATATTAGACCTGGATTGATCTAATTTTCCTATATATTCTTGCCTGTTGTCCTCTTTTTAAAAGATTTTTTTACTGTAGACTGGGCACAGTGGCTCACACTGGTAATCCCAGCATTTGGGAGGCCAAGGCGAGAGGATCACTTGAGCCCAGGAGTTTGAGACCAGCCTGAGCAACATAGTGAGATCCTGTATCTACAGAAAAATTAAAAAAAAAAAAATTAACTGGGCGTGGTGGCACTTGCTTGTAGTCTTAGCTACTCGGGAAGTGGGAAGATCGCTTGAGCATAGGAGTTCAAGGCTGCAGTGACCTATTATCACATCACTGCACTCCAGCCTGGACAACAGA